ATGGCCATGTTCACGAGCCTGGCGCGGTTGCAGTGCATCGGTCGCGGGCTGCAGGCCGGGTTCGCACAGGTGGCGCCAAAGAGGTTGGGGCCGGACGGCGAGATCGACGCTTGGACGCTCTCGTTCGCTGATCCGCAGGTGGAGAAGGGCTTCCTGGACACGCATCGCGATCAGCTGCGGTCGTCCTTCGGGCGCGTTCTGGTTATCGTCGCCTTCTTTTCCGGGTTGTTTCTCCTGCAGGTGCACACTGAGGATGTCGAGTTCCCGACGCAGGAGGCATACATCATTAGGCGGTGGCAGTTGGCCATCCAAGCCGCGTGTGGCATTATAGAGATTTCAGTGTTACTCGCAGCAGTCTTATTGTCGGGGTACGGCTTGATATGCACACGTGGGATGGAGAATGCAGCAATTGTCGTTGCGACAGTGTCAAACGCTCATGCCTGCTTCAACACCTATCACTACATTGCACGGGCATTTGGCGTCGAAGATCCAAGCGAAGTCTGGGGTATGGACCTTGCTGGCTCAGACGCTCCCTTCTTGTTGATGCTCACTTTGGTTGTCGCAGGGGCAGGGATTATGGTCAGGTGGAAGTCGTTAGTGCCCCTTGCAGTCCTCTCTGTGTTCGGATACGGTGCCGCTGCCCACCTCCTCGGCGGCCCAGACATGAGGCTAGCCTCGACCAACCTGCTTCTCTTCGCCTTGCTTGTGCTGGTGGCGTGCTCCGGGAAGCGCAGCTCGGAGATTCAGGCCCGCTTGCTTCACCTGTCATACCTGAGAGAGAAGAAGATGCGCTTCCAGGCAGAGTTTTCCTTGGCATGCCAGCAGGACCGTTCGGACGTCGCCGTGGAGCTAGGCTCGGCATCACCCGAACATACTTCTACCATACAGTCGGACCTAAATATCAGATCGAGGGTTGTTCGGGGAGGGTACCCTAGTGGTCTTCGTGTTTGTTGGGTGTTCTTGTGCACCCTGGGGAGGGTCCCCTTTGATGTTTTGTATGCTGTGGTCGACGGAGGGTTCCGTGTTCTTGAGGGATGTTCTTCTGGCCTAGGTCCGATTGTATGTGTCCCAGAGGAAGCCAAACGGTACCCTTCAGCTACTCCTAAGACCTCCCCTGGGGTGCGTTCTGACCAGGGCTTCGAGGCGAATCTAGCGGTGGCGACGAGGGCCTTCCAGGAGGTCTTACAGAACGGCGACACCGAGGCAAGGGTGTAGCAGTTTGGGCGCCTTTCTTCGTCCGATACACGTCCCAAAGGAAGCCACGCGGGAGGCTCGTCGTACTTCGGGCAGCTCTTGGACGACGTGCGTCCCGACTGCGGCGGTGTGCCGCTCGGGGGCGGCTCGCAGCGCTCGCCGTGCTCCCTGCCTGCCGTCCCGAGCGCGCCCGTCTGGTTCTCAGAGGAGCCAGGGGTCACGACAATGATGCGATCCAGGATTTCCAGGAATTTCAGGTTTTTCCCCATTCCCCACTGTTCCATACGGGCTGCAGGAACGAGGGCCGGCAGACACTGGAAGTCCTGGAGCGTATCCTGAGCCAATCTCATCGTGAGATTCGTCCCGTCCCAGGTTCGGGCCAGCCGCCGCGTGGTGCGTGGCCGAGGCCAGCGATGAGGCCGCCCACCATCGAAGAAGAAACAGCGGCACAACCATACACTTTGGAGCTCCGCGCAGATTTCTTGGGTCTGCGCAGGGCCCCACTGGCGGCGCTGTTGTTGCCCCTTGCCCACTCCGCGCGCCAGGGAGGGGGGTCCAGCGCGGATCCAAGAAATCCGCTCGGATCTCCAAAAAGTTTAGGTTTATGCCATTTTTTGTTCCTCTGCACCAGTGCTCGTTCTGCCTGCCGCTGGACGCCGGCGTGTGGGTCGAGGGCCGTGCCATCCCCTACACCCTACGGGACCTCGAGCGAGGGCAGCGCGTGCTGTGCTACGACTCGCGGGGGCGTTCGATCAGGTACGCGGAGGTGCTCGAGAAGCGGGTCGACTTCGGGGAGGTCCCCCGCGTCGGCGCCGGCCTCGGCGCCGGGGCGCAGCTGGTGATGGCGGCGAGCCAGGCCGTGCAGCTGGCACGCCAGAGAGAGGCGGTCTGGGCTGCGGACCTGTCCCCAGGGAGAGGCGGCGCGGTCGTGCACGGGGCGGCGGCGGTGCCCTGCGTGGTCGAGGAGGCGGCGCGGCAGGCAGAGGCGCGGGGGAGCGCGCGCGGGTGGGCCCACCTGGCCGTGAGGCACCCCGACGGGCTCTCGGTTCTGGTGGGGAGCTCGGAGGCGGAGCGCGTCGTTGATACGGGCGTGCTCGTCGAGCGGCGGCAGGCGCAGAGTGCCCGCGGCACCGCCCTGCGCGCGCTCTCGGCTCAGGACGGCGAGAGCTCGCGGGGGGCCAGGTCTCCGTCGGACGGAGCCGCCCCGGGCTGGGACCCCGAGAAGGGCTCGGGTGAGGGGGGGCTGCCAGCGGCTTCGCAGGCCTCGGCAACGTGAGAGGGGTCAACTTTTTATTTCAGGGTCAGCGTTCTTTTTTGGACCCGCCTTGTGGGACATCTTCAAACAAATCCCATTGGAGGACTGGTTGGTTGGTGGGTTGGTTGGCCGATGGGCTCGCCGACTGCTGGATCAACACGTTTTTATCCGGGAGGTTGGTTGGTTTGGTGGTTAGCTGGTTGGTTGGTTGGTTGGTTGGTTGGTTGGTTGGTTGGTTGGTTGGTTGGTTGGTGGGTGGGCTGGCTGGTTGGCTTGCTTGCTGGCTGGCTGGTTGGCTCATCGGTTTGTGGATCCATTTTTCTTCCGAGGCGATCGGGTGGTTGGTTGGTTGGTTGGCTTGCTGGTTGGCTGGTTGGTTGGGCGGTTGGTTCGTTCGTTGGCCGGTTGGTTGGTTGGCTGGTGGTTGGTTGGTTGGTTCGGTGGTTGGGCGGCCAGTTGCCCGCTTGCCCGGGTGGGTTGCCTGCTCATCCCTCACTCCTTCTCCTTCCCCCCTCCTCTCTGTACCTTACTCCCTTCTGCTCTCTCCCTGTCCTCGTCCTCCTCCTCCTCTTCCTCCTTCCCTTCTCCTCCCCCTCCTCCTCCTCCTCCTCCGCCTCCTCCTCCTCCTCCGCCTCCTCGCCCGCAATTTATTGCAATGCAAGGTATTGCAACTGCAATGGAAATACAACGCAGTGCAATGCAATACAACGCAACAGGAGGAAATGCAGTGCAATGTAACGAAATGCAGCGCAATGCAATTTAAATGCAATGCAATGCAATGCAGCAGGATACAATGCAGCGCAACACAATTCAACGCAACGCAACGCAACGCAATGCAATGCAATACAATGCAACGCAACGCAATGCAATGCGCCACGTCACGTGGCAGCGCCGCGGGGCCGAGCAAACATGCTTTGCACTCCACTTGCCACGTGGCAACGCCTTGGCGGGCGACAACATACGATTCCACTCTACTCGTCACGTGGCATCGCCGCGGGGGCTGAGAAAACTGCCATTTCACTCTAATCGCCACGTGGCACCGCCTCGAACAAATACGGCTTCACTACATTTGTTACGTGGCAACGTCACTGGGCCGATTTGGTGCCCTCTTGGGGTGCTCCAGGGCCGTCTTGGAGACCACCTTGGGCGTCTTGGAGGCCCCTTAGGCCGTCTTTGTGCCCTCTTGGGGCCGTCTTGGGGGCCTCTTGGGCCGTTCTTGGGCCATCCTGGACGCCTCTTGGGCGATCTCGGGGCGATCTTTTGGGGGCTCTTGGCCGTCTCGGGCCGTCGGAAGCCGAACAAAAAGCAAATGCCACATCGAGCCAACTTCGGCCATCGTGGTGGGCTCCTGGCCCGTCTGACGCCGTCGGAAGCCGTTCGGGGGGCCTTTCTGGGCCGACTTGGGACCCTCTTGGGGTGCTCCAGGGCCGTCTTAGAGGCCATCTTGGGCGTCTTGGAGGCCTCTTGGGTCGTCTTTGTGCCCTCTTGGGGCCGTCTTGGGGGCCTCTTCGGCCAGTCCTGAGGCCATCTTGGAGGCCTCTTGGGCGCTGTGGGGATGATCTTGGGGACCTCTTGGGCCGTCTTGGGTCGTCGGAAAGCCGAGAAGAAACGAATACCAAAATCCTTCAAACACCTAAGGAACATCAAGGATTTTGGCCTCGTCGGGCCCTCCTGGAGGCCCTCTTGAAGGCCTCTTGGGCCGTCTTGGGCGTCTTGGGCCATCTTAGAGCCATCTTCGGCCGTCTTCGTGGGCTCCTGGCCCGTCTGACGCCGTCGGAAGCCGTCTTGGGGGCCTCTCTGCGCCGACTCGGGGCCCTGTTGGGGTGCTCCAGGGCCGTCTTGGAGGCAATCTTGGTCGTTTTGGAGGCTTCTTAGGCCGTCTTAGAGTCCTCTTGGGGCCGTCTTGGGGGCCTCTTGGGCCGTTCTAGGGCCATCCAGGAGACCTCTTGGGCGTTCTTGGGGTGATCTTTGTGGGCTCTTGGGCCGTCTCGGGCCGTAGGAAGGTCGAAATGGAGCAAATACGACAATCCTTGAAACACCGCAGGACAATTAATGATTTTGGCATCCTCGGGCCTTCTGGAGGCTCTCCTGGAGGCCTCCAGGGCCGTCTTGGGCCATCTTAGAGCCATTTTGGGCCGTCTTGGTGGGCTCCTGGCCCGTCTGACGCCGTCGGACGCCGTCTTGGGGGCCTCTCTTAACCGACTTGGGGCTGTCTTGGAGCGCTTCACGGCCGTCGTGAAGGCTATCTTGGGCGTCTTGGAGCCCTCTGGGGCCGTCTTGGGGCCCGCTTGGGGCTGTCTCGGGGGCCTCTTGGGCAGTCATGGAGCCATCTTGGAGGCCTCTTGGGTGATCTTAGGGCGATCTTGGGGGACTCTTGGGCAGTCTGAAGGACGAAAAGAAGCAAATGCCAAAATCCCTCAAACACCTCAAGAACATCAATGATGCTCACCTCTTCGGGCCTTCCTAGAGAACCTTTTGGAGCCCTCTTGGGAGGCCTTTGGGGCCGTCTTGGTGGCTTCTTTGGCGGACTTGGAGGCATCTTGTACCCCCGTCCGGGACCATCCTAGGCGGACTTGGGGGCCATCTTGGGCCATCTCGGCCGTTTTGGAGGCATCTCGGAGTCCGTTTGGGGCCATCTTGGGCGTGAAAGGTATTGACATGTGCAGTTTGCGGTCCCTTCTGGGTGGCCGGCGCGCTGGGCCGAAGCCTCAGGGGGAGTTCTAAAAGAACCAAAGCCGTCTAGGATCTAGCACGCCCGACACCCCTGTGGCAAGCCAACAGGGGGCGGCGGATCGAAGACGCCTACGGCGAATCACCGCCGCCCCCTTCCTTTTTGGAAGCGCCTATGTGGCCGAACATTGAGGCCAGACCTGCGAAGCTATCGGACCATGTGTTCCCCGAATGGGTTTGGAAAGCCTTCGGGGAACACGTGGGCATCTTGAAGGTCATCTTGGCCGCCTGGAGGCCATTTTGGACGTCTTGGAGGGCTCTTGGGCTGTCTTGGAGGCCATCTTGAGCGTATTGAAGGCCTCTTGGGCTGTCTTGGGGGCCTCTTGGGGCCATCTTGGGCCTCTTGGGCGATCTTTGGGGGCACTTAGGCCGTCTCGCGCCGTCGGAAGCCGGAAAACAAAAAGCCAACTTCGGCCATCGTGGTGGGCTCCTGGCCCGTCTGACGCCGTCGGAAGCCGTTCGGGGGGCCTTTCTGGGCCGGCTTGGGGCCCTCTTGGGGTGCTCCAGGGCCGTCTTAGAGGCCATCTTGGGCGTCTTGGAGGCCTCTTGGGTCGTCTTTGTGCCCTCTTGGGGCCGTCTTGGGGGCCTCTTCGGCCAGTCCTGAGGCCATCTTGGAGGCCTCTTGGGCGCTGTGGGGGCGATCTTGGGGGCCTCTTGGGCCGTCTTGGGTCGTCGGAAAGCCGAGAAGAAGCGAATGCCAAAATCTTTCACAAACCTAGGGAACATCAAGGATTTTGGCCTCGTCGGGCCCTCCTGGAGGCCCTCTTGAATGCCTCTTGGACCGTCTTGGAGGCCTCTGGGGGGCCTCTTGGGCCGTCTTGGGCTGTCTTGGAGTCTCTTGGGCCGTCTTGCAGGCTGTCTTGGATCATCTTGGGCAGACTTGGAGGTCATCGGAGGCCATTTTGGAGGCCATCTTGGGCCAACGTGGCCATCGTGGAGGCCATCTTGAGCCGTCTTGGAGGACACATTGTGCAAATGAGGTCCTTCCCGGGTGGCCAGCGGGACAGGCCGAAGCCCCAGGGGGAGTTTTTTTTTGGCGGAAAAAGAACCAACACCGGAGAGGTTTCAGCACGCCAGGCACCCCTCTTGCAAGCAACAGGGGACGGCGGATGACGGAAAGCGCGCTGCGTCGCGATCCGTTAGTCTGAAGAAATAACAAGGGGGGGTGTGGGGGGTAGGCAGGGGGGGGCCAGAGTCTAATGGCTTTATTTGGGGCCCAACAATTACGATTTCGCTAGGGATATCCTCAAAAAAGTGCGCTCTGGTCGACATCGTCTTGGGATGACGGAAAGAGCGAGGTACGAGCGAGTGACGTTGAGTGTGGCGAAGCCCTTCTTAGGGGGGGTGCGGGGGGGGGCGAGGCGGGGGCGGATTGGTCTGATGGCTTGTTTCCATTGTATTTTTTCGAGTGAAGCGGCTCTCGGGCGGCTCCCATGGCCTGTTTTTTGTATTCCTTCCGGGAACGGAAAGAGCGAGGTTCGAGTGATCACGTTCTGGTATGGGCGAAGCCCTAAAGGGAAGGGTTCCAGGGGAGGGGGGTAGCGTGCGCATTTGAATGTGAATGGCCGTTTTCGGGTTTTCCCTCGGATTTTTGCCTTTTATTCGGGTTCCCCTCCAAGACGGCCCAGGAGCGCTCCAAGAGAGTCCAAGACCGCCCAAGACGGCCCAAGAGGCCCCCAAGAGGCCCCCAAGAGGCGCCCAAGGGGCGTCCCAAGAGGGCCCCAAGAGGCCGAAACCATCGATTTTCCAGAGGAAAACGTATATTTTCAGCATATGCGCTTTGTCGGCTTTCACGGCGTTGACGACGGCCCAAGAGGCCCCCAAGACTCTCCAAGACGGCCCAAGAGGCTCCCAAGAGGCCCCCAAAACGGCCCAAGAGGGCCCCAAGACGGCCCAAGAGGCGCTCAAGACGGCCCAAGAGGGCGCCAAGACGGCCCCAAGAGGGGGACCACGAATCGAAAAGTCTAGCTTTTCGCCCCAAGACGCTCCCAGGAGGCCCCCAGAGCCCCCCAAGAAGCCCCAAGAGGCCCCCAAGAGGCGTCCCAAGAGGCCACCGGGAGGCGAACATCATTTATGGGAAAATGTACATTTTTAGCGTACAAGGCTTTCCGGAATTCACTGCGCTGAAGACGCTCCAAGAAGCCCCCAAGACCGCCCCAAGACGGCCCAAGAGGCTCCCAAGAGGCCCCCAAAACGGCCCAAGAGGGCGCCAAGACGGCCCAAGAGGCGCCCAAGACGGCCCAAGAGGGCCCCAAGACGGCCCCAAGAGGGGGACCACGAACCGAAAAGTC